TATCGGCTCGGGTGATATAAAATCTTAACAGGTAATATATCCACATATATCACTCCAAAACCAAAATAACATATAATATTGTGACGTGCTGTCGAAAATATAATATACTGATACAGAATCAAGGTACCTTTTTTTCAATATTTTCTTCTTGTTTTTAACTTTCAATTTGACCCATTTTCAACTTCCATTTCTTCATGGTTTGCTCGATTTATACATTTAGTTCAGACAATCTAATCGAACACTTCATTATCGTGGTTGCAAGATGCTAAATGTTATTGTTAGTATTTAATTGTTTTTTGACAGAGTAAAAAGTAAACAATATGGCAGACGGTTCGGATTATGACATTATCCCAAACAAAAAAGGAAAAACTGAGATATGGAAACTGTTTTGCAATGTGTTTTTTATAGTGATAATAATTGAATGACTTTTGTCTTTTCTGCAGTAATGAACAATTTTCATATCTGTAATCATTGTATTTAGATAACTAAGCACTAAATGCATCTTTCACACAAATATTTAGCATTGTTTATGTATCTTAAAATCTAATCATTGAACCTTTTAGCTTGCTAATCTTCGGAAATTATTATTCAATATTCAAAGTACTCCAATCTTTAAAAAAAAATATTTTGGCCCATGATTGCTTACAGTACTTCAAAATCTTTTACAGTAAAATTGATTCATTTTTTAAAGTTTATTTGAAATGGAGCAGTATCATGTTATACGTAGTAAGTAAAATGACATTAGATTATTCTACTCATAGAATTTTTTTGGTAATTTAGATTATTTTTAGTCATTTTTTTTATTTCAAATATTATTTTGTTGCATGCACTTGCATCTGTTTCTAAATTTCACATGTGAAATATGTTTTCACTTGAATAAAAAGTTAAAAACTTAAAAGAAGGCAAATATCTTTTTTATGCTTCTTTCAGCTTGAAGTAATATATCATGATAAGCTACTGAGGTATTGTGACAGCCTTAGCCAGTTGTCTTTGTATAAAAACTAAATTAAAATATAAGCCAGTGATCTGATACCATCAACCCAAATTTTCACTAAATATACAGTATTTATCAAGGACAACAGTAGTACCACCATACTTGTGCATTGACAGGGGCCACACGAATTTCAAGTCTGAATACTTGATGCATGGTTTTGTGCCAGATCTTTGAACTCTGTAATGCAAAGTGTGTGTGTCAACATCTATTATGTCCAACTTCTCTGTAATGAAAACTTTTTCTTCAGAAACTACCAACAGGTTTTCAACAATACCAAAGTCTGGAAGGTTTTCAACATAATCTATCACAAGTACACATCCCGGTTTGTAAATATGGCCTTTGATTTCTATTTCAGCCGCACTAAAAATGCAATTCTGATGTAAATTTGAACCCACAAGGAAGTTCTGAACTTCAAAACTCTGTAGGTCCAATCTTGAGGCTTTCAATTTTGAGGTGTTATCCCCACTATATAAGAAGTTGTCTGCAGGATGGCCATTTGTGCCCAATTGTCTCCAGCACATCCAGAGCTGATGTTTCATTGACAAGCTTAGCGCAATGTTTTTAAAACATTTCCATTTGATCTTTTTGAAGAATAAATGCTTACCTTCAAATCGCATGACCCACTGATTGCGCCCTGGGCCAAACCTCAATATCTGTTTGGGAATGTGAACCAAATAGTGGAATTTAGGTGTCAAGGGCGATTTCGGGTAATCCTTTTTGAATTCACAATGATGTGTATAAATGAGCTGCTCCAATTCTGCAGCAGTATCTTCAGATGCATATGGGCTAGTTGACAACAGAGTTATCTGAACAATCCTGAGGAAATTTTTCCATTTGCTGTTTTCTGTTGGTACCTTCTTACCTATCACTATCGGTAATATGCAACACAGCATCAACAAAGAGGCAGATGTCTGTTTTAGCTTTCCATTCAAAAGGTCATCACTTTTTATCTTCTCTGGTTTATTTTTTTCTTCCAGGTAAGTGTAACTAAATCCACCCAAGGCATTATTCAAAAAGGCCAAGGTGAAATATTTTTCAACTGCAATAAAATTGTACAGTATGAGGCAAACTTCTTTCGAAAGAAGACCCTCAGTTAAAATATGCATGGGATCCTGAACAAGACAAGCTGCTAAGTCAATGCCGTGTATATCCAGTAAAGGACTCCTACCATTTATTCCCCATGTCTTGCTCCAATATTTGGCAGCCATTGTAGTCATTTGGGTTAAAAGATTAAGCCGTTCCAAATGCTGATCTATGGTTCTCTTCTGGAAGTCAGCATCAAGAAATTTTAACTTCATTTCATTTCGCGAAGTATTACATGTCCTACATACTTTATTAGCAAATCCAACCCCTTCTTTAAACCCACCTAAATATTGAGCAGCAGGTGTATCTGCAGGAGCAATAATTAAACCACCCCAAACTGTCACATTTCTGTCATTTACTGAGAAATCAATACCAGTGGTATTCAACCTATTCATTGTTTCAACAAAATCATGAAGAATTTTCCCTAACCCAAATTCCTTTACATCCTGACTTTTCACTACTGCAAGCAACTGAATAGCCTCATATTTTGATCGAAACTCTGGCGGAATATTTGCAAGTGTAAAGTATATCATGGTAACCATATGTTTTTTTGTATGACTTCCAATTGGATTAACAATTTCAATATCATCCATGTACAGAACAAGCTGCAAAAATATTCCAGACTTCCCGAAATATGTCGGTCTGACGGACATGTCCGATAAATTTTGATCAGGTCCGACGAGTTCTATTCCGGATCGGTCCGACTGTCCGGCTTTTATCCAAGCCGCATGTATACAAAGTGGCGTCGCTAAAGGTGCCAAACCTTGGAAAAATCAAAAATCTACGTCAGAGGAACGCGCAGAACAGTAGTAAAAGGATAAAAAGAAGGACCTGAGACAAAATTTAATGAAAATTAGAAGCAAGACAGTGAATCGTTGGTGTATGATAGGGAGGAGATGAAAATGCGCTGTAAGGAATGTGCCGATTTTTACGGCGAAAAAATTAAAAACAAAAAGTGTCTTAGAATTACAAACACACGTTATTCTTTGATTTTGATCAATTTTATTTGGTCCGACAGATTTCGTTTCGGTCCGACAGATTTTCATGGTTTGTCAGACCGAATGTCTGACAGTTTTTTTCAACTTTCTGTTGACAACTCTATTTCTGACTAAATCTTTCATGTACGATGCATCACAGAAATCTCGCATAATGCCATCATTGCTACAATGGGACGTAGTTAGCCAGTACCACACCTGGGGCATTGATATCAATTTTTCTAAATTTTTCTGAAATGGAACAATATATCCGTAAGTCTTTAAACGCCGAATATTTCCTCTCACTTGATGCAACTTCTCACCCATTAGAACAGGTACACTTCTAATTAAACCGCAGTGGTCCTCTAAAAATTTATAATGCATGTGTTTGCTAGAGATCTCAATTAGACTATTTGTGACAGCCAAGTCTTTAACAAAACTAGCATCATGCCCACGATTTGTCAGGGCTGTTTCAACCTTTTTTCTAAATGTTAAAAGGTGACTAGACACAAGATCTCGTGCATTTTCTACTACTGTCTGTAAACCCCTCTCAGAAATACAATGATCAGCATGCAATGACAAAAGGAATTTTTGATCGATGTATACTTGATCACTAATGCCTTCCTCATTTTCTATAATGTTGGTATTTTCCACTTCATTATCTGATTCAGTATGGTTATAATCTATTTCCACACGCTCTTCAAAATTTATTTCTCTGTGTCTTCGAAGCATGTGCATTTTGTAACCATTCCAACTTTTTGTCGAGTACTGACAGTCTTCAATGCAACAATTAACAATGAAGTTGGCATCATTCCTGTGGTACCGGACCAGATGAACTGTAAATCTTTGTTGGTCTTCACAACAGAAATTACACATTGAACAAAACATTATTTGATAAAGCTTTCTAAGTATAATTACCAATTAGGGAATCAATATAATTTTGGAATCATAATTTTGTGCTGGTCTTGGTGACCAAAGCATTGAATTAAATGTTGTTAATGATCCCCATTATATGTGTTCTACATCTTAAAATAAATAAGTTCCTTTATGAGATCTACATGAACAGATATGTAGTTAGAAAAAGTCTGACATTATGCACAGCATAATCTGCTGTTTAGAATCCCTAAAATATCACTGATATAATACGGGGAAGTCAAAGACTGGGCCCACGAAGCAACTCCGGGCTTTGGCTTGCCCGGCTATAGACTACATGTGTATATTTAAAAGAAAATCAAATAAATAACAATTAAAAAATATATAGATCTATAGAATTCTATACCTATCAATGAAATTTTCAGTGTCAGTTCTAGCCGGGCGCTGCCATATGAAACTCAATGATAATAGGAGGGGTATTCTGATAACGGAACAAATCTCAACTTTTTCAGATCAATAATAATCGTCCAGTGTTATGAGTGAAAACGGAAGTGGTGCATGTAATACCCAATGACACCTTTAAAACGGAAAGAATGAAAGCATATTTGTTAACGACTTCCCCGTTTATAGGCTTTGCCTTATTTCAAATTATTCTCTTGCATGAATGGTACAGAGCATGTCCATATTTGTTAATTAATTAGGCCTGTAACTGCCTAAACATTTTGATTTTAGAGCAATAATCCAATATGTTACAAAAGCTTATTTAGATCCACTTTCTAAAAAAAAAAAAAAAAAAATATCTTGATAAATCTAGATCTGTGAATTTACATTATCAGCACGAAGAATTATTTACATTATCTTCTTCCTATTCTACAGTGTTGACTGTTTGCAAAAACAATCATATCTATAAATTTATGTAGATCTATTGACTATCGTATATATTCTTGAAATACTAAAGTGGGTGGGGAAATATTTTTTATGGTTAATGAAAATGCTAATTTGCGCCCGACTTAAAAAGATCTGCCTTTTCAACCTTTGATTTTGATCTACAAATACATAAGTACATCGTACTCAACCTTTTGCTGTTGTTTTCTTTGTTTTCCTTGCTAAATTTACGCAAAAATGAAGAAATGTAAAATTTGCGCAAAAATCGGCTGCAGCAGGAGAAAGGAAGTGAAATTCGGCACACCTCGGATAATATCCGAAGGTGTTCTTGATCGGCACTCATGACATACGCAGAATGTTCCCCTCTGAAACACCGGCGTTTAAGACAGAGACACTTTCGCATTAAATATTTTAAAACATTCGTATTGTCTTATATCTGTTATATTTTTGTTTTATTTCTGTTTTATTTGTTATTAATAATCAAAACACGAGATGAGCTTATGACATAAAAGTAAACACAAATGTTTCATGTTTGCACACAGGCATGCCAATATTAACACCAACCGTTTAAACACTGCACACTACTGTTTAAGTTATAAACACCCGTTCCATAAAGAAACGCATATGTTTTAATACTGCACACAACGAGAACACATGCGTTTTGTTAATAAACACCTGTGGAACGCGTCAGGCGTTACCATTTTTTACAGTGCAGGAACGATGGTAAGGAAACTACCCGCCTATATGACTGAAATACTGTTGGTAAAAGGCGTAAGATAAAACAAACAAACAACTGTTACCTATAGCACACCTTTATGGTAACTATTATCTACGACACACTTAAGCGGTTCCAATTATAAAACTTTTAAACTTGTAAACTTTTATGGTAGCTGTAACAGTTATCTATCAGCACATTTTTATGGTAACTGTTACTGTATGTGTAGAAATATTCGCGGGCTTCAAATTTTCGCGATCTTCGCGGTGACATTCGACCCGCGAATTCATGTTTAGCGCGAATATTTCTACACCAATAATTTCTTAATAGTCATATTTTCGCGCTTCTATAGAACAATGTATATCAGTGTCTGATGTGCTTTCACACTTTTTATTTAAATTTGTACTGAGTAATTGTGTTTGTTTTCCAAGTTATTCATCATTTAAAATCGTTAATGTTTGTGTTTTTTAATTATTTGTTCAGAAAAACCAAAACATGATCACTGATCAGATGTCAAGACGTTTATGACGCAAACTGTGAAAAATTATGCACGTTAATGGGCATTCATTTGTTTGCTATAATCTGTCCGCTTGACAATGTCTTTTTTTCTGTACAATAGAGTATTGTTTGACACCTGGTATTAAAAATAACTATGAACTCCCACGATGATTACAGTAATTTTCTTTTTTTTAACCTGAGTGGTCTACGCGAATTTATGATTTTCGGCAGTCACCTCCGCGAATTCAAAATAGCGCGAATATTTGTATAGACCCCCAAATTGGACCTTTACGCGAAAATTTGCTTCCGCGAATTTAAATACACATACAGTATCATACAACTCACTTTTTATGGAATGCCGGTAGGGACATGCCAATTTGCTTCTTTGCTAATTGCTGAATTGCTTATTTGCTAATTGCCAATTTGCTTATTTGCCAATGGCTGATAGGCTTAAAGACAAATTTGCTTATTTGCCAATTGCTGAATTGCCGATTTGCTTATTTGCCAATGGCTGATATGCTTAACGACAAATTTGCTTATTTGCCAATTGCTGAATTGCTAATTTGCTTATTTGTTAACCGCTGGTTTACGTATTTGCTTATTTGCCAGTTGCTAATTTGTTTTTTTGCAATAGAAATAGTTTACACTGTGCCGGAAGTATATGGAAAATCTGACTACAGACAACCAGTTGAGTCAAATCTGTTAACTTTTACTAACAGTATTCTTGTAAATTCAGTGTTTTTCCAAGAATACTGTTGGTCAATGTATTTGGTTGCAGTGATGCCTACGCAGATATATGTCTACAACTGATGGTTGACATGTCCTTGAGAACACAGACGCTTGGGGGTCAGATCCCGTACCCCAACGTGATACGTGCCCCTGTAAACACTCTATTTAAAATATTTTAATATTTAAACACGAATTGGACATCGTTAAAACTGGTTTTCAAGCAATTTTTACATATACCGGAATGAAAAAATACCACATACCACCAAGTCTCAAAAAAGTACTTAATGGTTTTATCGTTGTAACAGATGTCCAATTCGTATTTAAATAAATATTAAAATAGTTTTGATATAGTGTTTACAGACGCGTATCACGTTAGGGGCAGGATCTGACCCGCCAGCATCTGTGCTTGAGAATGCCTTATAATGTGTTGCAGCTATAGATCTGTTTGTGCAGCTTAAGTCAGAGATTGATGGCATAATAAACACTTGATTAGTCATATATAAATGAAAATTATTGTGTAAAGATTGAAAATAAAAGAACTTGAAAACAAAACTATTTCTTATTTTATGGCATATAAAATGTCGTTATTTTCAGCAGATTTGTCACAGAGGGCCTCATTTTAGTGATACGAACACATAGTATCACGAATGATACATTTGGTGCACGGGTGTTTGTCTTTGCACTTAAGCAATAGGCTTCGTTTTTAGCTCTGTAAGATTTTGAGATCACTAATGTCTGTGTGTGCATCAACATTTTGCTTTGATTCAATGTTTTTGAAATTTGGTCACACTTTTCCATTTCTTCATGTTGTACATTTTACATGCTATCAGGTGACCATGACTATGATCATGACCTAGGGTATAATGAACAAAGCCTCTTTGAATATTGTGTATGCATGCTGCCTATTTAATGCTTATGTGAAGTTACAGTCAGATATAAGCAATAGTAACAGAGATATAACAGAAAAACAAAGGCGCCTAAGTACAATACATTGGTGACCTTGACATTCAGTATATAACGGGCACAGCTTCTTCATGTACTTTGTACGCATGCTTGTAACGCAAAGTGTATGCAAAGTTGCAGTAAGATGCATGAATCAGCAAAAGCAACAAAGATATGACAGAAAAACAAGTTACCAAGAAAACCAATGCATTGTCGGGTAGAATAGCAATCCTGATCCCTATTCTCTGAATAGTGGAGCTAAAACTGAAATTCAAGATAATTAAAAAAACAACTACTTTCTGAAACTGAATTTATTTTTTTCGAAATGGATTAAAATGTATCCATCTGTCTTTCTACCTATATTCTAGGTAATGATGGATTGATCATAATTGTCACAAGTTATAATTAACAAAACTTTATAAACATAATAATATGATATAGGTTCATGAGCTTGAAATAAAGTCTACAAAGACTTGTTATTTTATATCAAACAAGAATTTCGCGAGTCGGACGTGTCGCCTGACAATAGCATAAAAAATATGTATATAAGCAAATAAGCAATTAGCAAATAAGCAAATTGGCAAATCAGCAAATAAGCAAATTGGCAAATCAGCAATTAGCAAATAAGCAATTAAGTAGTTGGCAAATAAGCAAAGTGGCATGTCCCTACCGGCATTCCATACACTTTTAGTGGTTACTGCTATTATACACCACAGATTCAATTACAATGGTTCAAGTCTTGGAAAGAAGGTATCATAATTCTTATCACTGATTTGATTAAATTGTTAATGTTTCAATTATTCTTCAGATGAAACAAGGCAGGACAGACAGAAGAATGGAAACATTTTTCAGTGGTTTTTTGAGTGGATACGTTATCACCGGATGAAAACACGTAAGATTTTACTTAACTACGCTATGCATGTGGCTTTCCAGAATTGAGATACAGTCAAACAATTAAGAGAGACATCCTCCGATTTAAGACCACCGTGTAGTTAAAGACCACTTTTTGAGAAACTTTCATTGAAAAATGTATATTCAGAATAAATACCTTTTGTCATTAAAGGCCATGCATGTTCTCTCTTTGGGTGGTCCTTATTTACCAGTTTGACAGTACTGTGTTATAAGCTTGACATTTTGCGGGAAAAATCATGTTTTCCGTTCCCGTTCCAGTCCGTAACAATATCACACCGTATTACCGGCGCCAGTGATGGCAAATCACTGCAGTGATGGCAGATAGCTGAAATTTACCGCTCGGTACAGGTAGGTTATGAATTTGGTTGGTATTATTATATTACACAAATATGACCCATTTTATTGCTATGAAACTATTGTCCATTGACTGGAGATACTATTAGGTAATTTTGGACTCGTTTCTCCTGCTTTTAGACTATTTTGAGCAGGTTAAAGGTGACAGCTGCGGAAAAATCCATGAAAATGTCTGTTTTTTGTTCAAAATATCTAAAGTTTTAACTAAATGGCAGGATTTCGTGTTATAAATATAGACATTCATCCATTGGGGTCACGCAAGCCAAATACCTACCCCGTGAGTCTTTTCTTAAAAGTTTTATAGACGTTCAATCTGGTCCGATCGAAGAAAAAATGCTGTATTTGGCTTGCGTGACCCCAATGGATAAACGTTTATATTAAAAACATGAAATTCTGCCATTTGGTTAAAACTTGAGATATTTTGAACAAAAAACAGACATTTTCACGTTATAGTATCTCCAGTCAATGGGCAATAGTTTCATAGCAATAAAATAGGTCGTTGTTGTGTAAAATCATAATACCAACCAAATGTATAACTTACCTGTACCGAGCGGTAAATTTCAGCTATCTGCTATCACTGGCGCCGGTAATACGGTGTGAATATGTTGTTGTTAATGTTTTGTTGGAGTATTCCTTACTCTGTCCTCCGATGAGTAAGAAAATTTCGAGTGTGATTCCCGCTAGACGGTGGTTTTGTTTTTTTAATGTGCACACGATTTCTTCACCTGCCGAAACATTATAATTGAAGACATGAAATTATTTTAATAGAATGTTACGTGATATACAAGTTTGCTAATGTCTTGTATCAATAAATTACAGGAAAATTCAACAGCATCTCTGCTAGAATAAAATGAGCTTCCAATAAATGAAAATATGTAATGCTAAAAAATTGTTTAACGAGAAAAAGTTGGAGTTAAAAGGATGTATACATTAATATAAAATATTTTTTTCTTACGGAGATCCATAATGTGTAAAAGTTACTTTTTTGTTGTCAAGTAGAGGTGAATTAGTTATATTTTTTGAAATATCGACTATTAGATGGCAATTAATCAAAAACTGATAGAAATGTAATACAACTACTACTACTACTACTACTACTACTACTACTACTACTACTACTACTACTACTACTACTACATACTACTACCACTACCACTACCACTACCACTACCACTACCACTACCACTACCACTACCACTACCACTACTACTAATAATAATAATGATGATGATAATAATAATAATAATAATAATAATTATATAAAAAATTATTAGGTTATAAAATATAAACTGTCTAAAATATACAAGGGTTGTCCAATATATTTGTGCACATGTGGGCTGCATAAGAACAAACTACACAATACTTTCAAATTGCATCAATCATTCCTCTTTTGACAGTAAAACAAATTATGACAAAATATAAACTGTCTAAAATATACGAGGGTTGTCCAATATATTTGTGCACATTTGAGTTGCATAAGAACAAACTACAAAATACTTTGCATCGATCATTCCTCTTTTGACAGTAAAACAAATTATGACATAAAAAGGA